GAGACAGACCAGAGAGAGACCAGAGACAGACCAGAGACAGACCAGAGACAGACCAGAGAGAGACCAGAGACAGACTAGACAGGGACCAGAAAGAGACCAGAGAGCGACTGTGATCTTCTTTACTGTATAATCCATAGATTATAGCAACATCTAGTCTCTGGATTTTAGTCCATTCTCCCTCCTCTCTTCGGCCCTGAGCACTTCCCTCTCTCTCTCACACGCTGAAGGCCGGAGGGCGGTAGTACGAGGCCGGCTTCTTCAGGCTCTGTTTGCGGTTCTCTTTGGTGATGGGGATCAGAACGACCCCGACCACAAACACCATGAGGCCGATGGAGAGCAGAGCGGGCCCCAGGATGTTGGTCACCTTCCTGCAGTGTCCCGCGAAGTACAGGCCGCTGATGACCACGCCACAGAGGAGGAAGCTGCCCCCGGTGGTCATGAGGTGGATGGGCAGCCAGAAGACGTCCGAGCAGTTGGCATTGGGGGGGGCGGGGCAGGAGGAGGAGTCCTGGGAGGTGTTCCAGAGGGAGTCTCCGCGGGACAGGCTGAAGACGGTGCTCTCTGTGCGGGACAGTGGAGGAGACAGCTGCTCCTGGGACTGGGACAGGGTGCACTCTCCCAGGGGGATGGTCTCTGGGGCTGGCATGGCCTCGGGGCGGGGACCGGCTGAGGGGGAGAGAGGGGGGAGTCAGGGGGAGTCTGTTCATGACATTTAGTCTCTGGTCTCTCTCCGAACCGGCTCAGGGGGAGAGAGACAGTCTGAGCGGTTCATGTAACGTAACATTTATGGTTTCTAAGCACAGACTTTGAAAGTATTTGTACCGTGACTTTATCCCTGCGCTCTCTGGTCTACACTGGTCTCTCTCACTGGTCTTACTTTGGTCTCTCTCTCTGGTCTACACTGGTCTCTAACACTGGTCTTACTTTGGTCTCTCTCTCTGGTCTACACTGGTCTCTCTCACTGGTCTTACTTTGGTCTCTCTCTCTGGTCTACACTGGTCTCTAACACTGGTCTTACTCTGGTCTCTCTCTCTGGTCTACACTGGTCTCTAACACTGGTCTTACTCTGGTCTACACTGGTCTCTCTCACTGGTCTTACTCTGGTCTCTCTCTCTGGTCTACACTGGTCTCTCTCACTGGTCTTACTCTGGTCTCTCTCTCTGGTCTACACTGGTCTCTCTCACTGGTCTTACTCTGGTCTCTCTCACTGGTCTTACTCTGGTCTCTCTCTGGTCTTACTCTGGTCTCTCTCTGGTCTTACTCTGGTCTCTCTCTGGTCTTACTCTGGTCTCTCTCTGGTCTTACTCTGGTCTCTTTCTCTCTGGTCTGTCTCACTCTGGTCTCTCTCTCTCTGGTCTTTCTCTGGTCTCTTTCTCTCTGGTCTTACTCTGGTCTCTCTCTCTCTTGTCTTTCTCTGGTCTCTCTCTGGTCTTACTCTCTGGTCTCTCTGGTCTTATGCTGTGGTCTCTCTCTCCCAGGTCTCACGCTGGTCTTTCTCTGGTCCCTCTCTCTGGTCTCTCTCAGATTTATCTCTAGTCTCTCTTTCTGAAATCTTTTTGGTCTCTCTGTTTTTTCTCTAGTCTCTCTCTAGTCTCTCTCTGGTCTCTGTCTCTGGTCTCTCTCTGGTCTCTGTCGCTGGTCTCTCTCAGGTTTATCAATTTCTCCCTCTCTGATATCTTCCTGGTCTCTGATTTTTCTCTGAACTCTCTCTAGTCTCCCTCATCCCTCCCTCTCTGGTCTCTCTCCCTGATCTTTCTTTCTGGTCTCCCTTTTTCTCTGGTTTCACGGTGGTTGCTCTATGGTCTTTCTCTGATCTTTCTTCGCTCTTTGCCACAACGCTGTGAATAAATCCACACCTCTCTCCGGTGGTAGAAAAGGGGAGGACACTCTACGTTTTCTATTTTATTTGTTTGATTTGACATTTTATGGATTCAAATGCAAAGAGGAAAAATGACAAAAATTATGCATGATAAAGACCATTTAGAGAGACCAGAGAGAGACCAGAGAGAGACCAGAGAGAGACCAGAGAGAGACCAGAGAGGGAGACCAAAGAGACAGAAAGAGGGACCAGAGAGAGACCAGAGAGAACAGAGAGAGACCAGAGAGAGACCAGAGAGAAGCCTGAGAGAGACCAGAGAGAGACCAGAGAGAGACCAGAGAGAGGCCCGAGAGAGACCAGAGAGAGACCAGAGAGAGACCAGAGAGAGACCAGAGAGAGACCAGAGAGAGCCCAGAGAGAGACCAGAGAGAGACCAGAGAGAGACCAGAGAGAGACCAGAGAGAGACCAGAGAGACCAGAGAGAGACCAGAGAGAGACCAGAAAGAGGGACCAGAGAGAGACCAGAGAGAGACCAGAGAGAGACCAGATGGAGACCAGAGAGAGACCAGAGAGAGACCAGAGAGAGACCAGAGAGAGACCAGAGAGAGACCAGATGGAGACCAGAGAGAGACCAGAGAGAGACCAGAGAGAGACCAGAGAGAGACCAGAGAGACCAGAGAGAGACCAGAGAGAGACCAGAAAGAGGGACCAGAGAGAGACCAGAGAGAGACCAGATGGAGACCAGAGAGAGACCAGAGAGAGACCAGAGAGAGACCAGAGAGAGACCAGAGAGAGACCAGAGAGAGAGACCAAAGAGACCAGAAAGAGGGACCAGAGAGAGAGAACAGTTCTGTACATTTGAGTCTTGACTAGAACCATCATATCATTCCTGAGGAGCACAGGGACTGGCCTCCTGCTGGGACTCTGAGGAGCACAGGGACTGGCCTCCTGCTGGGACTCTGAGGAGCACAGGGACTGGCCTCCTGCTGGTCCCAGAGTCAGGACTAAAAACAGTCTTCCTGAAACTGTGAGACAGACTTCTTGTGAGAAGGATTTGATCTATTTTTATTGAACTGTGATTATCTATGGTTTTATTGTGTTCTGGTGTGTTGCCGTGGACACCTCCCTGTTTGTGACTGAACTTCATTTCCATTATCGCAGAATAAATCTCTGAAATGTGAGCGTTCATTATTCAACCTCTATTTGCATTATTTATGTGGAAGTAAATGCGACATGTTCTGCAGACAGAGACCATGAGAGAAACCATGAGAGAGAGCAGAGAGAGACCATGAGAGAGACTATGAGAGAGAGCAGAGAGAGACCATGAGAGAAACCATGAGAGAGAGCAGAGAGAGACCAGAGCGAGACTATGAGAGAGGGCAGAGAGAGACAAGACAGAGAGACCAGAGAGAACCAAGAGAGACCATGAGAGAGAGAGAGGGACCAGAGAGAGACAAGAGAGTAACCAGAGAGAGACCAGAGAGAGACCAGAGAATGACCGGAGGGACCAGAGAGACCAGTTTGAGACCAGAGACCATGAGAGAGACCAGAGAGAAACGAGAGAGACCAGAGAGAAAACATAGAGAGAACAGAAAGAGACCATGAGAGAGACCAGAGAGAGACCAGAGAGAGACTGGAAAGAACAGAGAGAGCTGTCTCATGTCTCTGCACCACTTCCTCTCACACTGAAAGATGAGCTCACTGACCACTGCACTCTGTCCTGTTCTGGTCTGGTCTGTTTGACCGTTAAAGCTCGGGTACGTAAGTTTGAAATCCCAACAATCAGAGCGATAGTTGGTTTTAATGTTTTTCTAGCCTCTGTCACATCTTTAGACACGGTTTTTCCAGACAGAAAAGTGACAAAGAGAGAACACCCCCATTCTCAGATCTCAGAGACCAGAGAGAGACCAAAGGGAGACCAGAGACAGACCAGAGACAGACCAGAGAGATACCAGATAGAGACCAGAGAGAGACCAGAGAGCGACTAAATAGAGACCAGAGAGAGACCAGAGAGAGAGACCAGAGAGAGACCAAAGAGAGAGAGACCAGAGAGAGAGAGACCAGAGAGAGAGAGAGAGAGACCAGAGAGAGAAAGACCAGAGAGAGAGAGACCAGAGAGAGAGACCAGAGAGAGAGAGACCAGAGAGAGAGACCAGAGAGAGAGAGACCAGAGAGAGAGAGACCAGAGAGAGAGACCAGAGAGAGAGATCACAGAGAGAGACCAAAGAGAGAGAGACCAGAGAGAGAGAGACCAGAGAGAGACCAGAGAGAGAGAGAGACCAGAGAGAGACCAGAGAGAGAGAGAGACCAGAGAGAGAGACCAGAGAGAGAGAGACCAGAGAGAGAGAGACCAGAGAGAGAGACCAGAGAGAGAGACCAGAGAGAGAGAGACCAGAGAGAGAGACCAGAGAGAGAGACCAGAGAGAGAGAGACCAGAGAGAGAGACCAGAGAGAGAGGAGGTTCAGCTGTACTGTACTTGACTTCCTCTTTAGCTCGCCTTTGCTCACACATTGATGAATAATTAATCACATATTTACAATGAAATCCATAAATATTAAGACCCTCTGTAAACATGCAGCAGCCGCAGAGGAGGGAGTCGGGCAGAAGCGCCTCGAAGTGAAAACCACGAGTCTTCACTTCGATACATGCCTTTAACCCCGTCTGTGTTACTTCTTGGTCTAGGTCTGATCCAAAGCTTTGTCTGAAGCCAAACAGACTTTGAACCAGAGAAACCAGAGGAGAGAGAGAGAGCTTCAGGTACAGACTGTTGTGTAGTTCTAATCTGTGTGGCTTTAAAGTTAGGTACCCCAGCTTTACGAGCCAAACAGCCAAACCTACCTCTCTGGAGCCTGGTCCTCTGTGTCCTCTCTGTAATCCCTCTATTCCAAAAGTCCAAAGTCCAAAGACCGTAGACCGTAGACCGTAGGAAGCCGGGGTGAGGCCGGGTGAGGCGGGTGAGGCGCTGTGTCCGTGTGTGTGTAGGTCCAGCCCTCTCCCAGTGGAGTCCGTCTTCCGTCTATCACTCTCGGCCCATTACCAGCACTTAGCCCCAGACCTCACGTTTCCACTCCGACCAGAGAGCAGTCATAAAGGCTGCTCCTCTGCACCACCCCATCTCCTCTGTGGTGGATCTGCCTTTGTCTTTCTATGAATAATAATAATAATAATAATAATAATAATAATAATAATAATAATAATAATAATAATAATAATAATAATAATTATTATTATTATTATTATTATTATTATTATAACAACAACAACAATAATAATAATAATTAATAATAATAATAAATAATAATAACAATAATAATAATAATAATAATAATAATAATAACAACAATAATAATACTAATAAAAATAATAACAATAATAATAACAATAATAATAACAATAATAATAATAATAATAACAATAATAACAACAATAATAATAACAATAATAATAATAATAATGATAACAATAATAATAATAACAATAATAATAATGATAACAATAATAATAATAATAATAATGACAGACTTTTATACATCGCTTTTCTAGACACAAGTCTCTTCACATCATTATTCTCTCTCTCCAAACACGGTGGTGATAAACTACTGTAGCCACAGCTGCCCTGGGGCACACTGACAGAAGCGAGGCAACCAGTCTGTGCCATCAGCCCCTCCCACCACACCAGACTCATTCTAATGTGGGGGAAGTGTCTTGCCGAAGGACACAGCCACAGCCGCCCCACTGTGGCACCTGGTGTTCCCCAGAGGTCTCCCATCACAGCACTAACCAGAACCTGCCCTGCTTAGCTTCAGAGATCTGACAGGATATCAGT